CTGTTTTAATGTCATGTCCAAATAAGAGATTTCATGCAGTGCCCTCTCTCTCATCTCTCTGTGATCTATTAGCCCCTTGGGAAATAACGCGTGTTAAAGTAGATTGTGTTAGACTTGTCAATGACAGATAAAATTGTGGCTTTAGGAAATAAAACAACTTCCAATTACTCATGTTGATGACATATAGAGATAGTGAATAATTGAAAGAGCGAGAAACCAACCAGCTGTAAGTTTTAAACTTTTTTTTTTTTTTTGCTAGTAACTGCTAGAACCGGAATAGGAAATCATAAGTAAATTTAATGAATTAATTTCACATTTTCCCCTTGTCCTTGTCTACCTTTGATTAAAGTGATAAAATATATTAATGTTCCTTAAAGGCAAGGAGGAGAAAGAACCCTCTGAACTGGAACAGTTCATAAATTGATAATCATGCACTGAATAGAGTCACTATTTAGATATATATTGTAATCTTCACGGTCATTTTCTCTATATGCAGAGCATGAATGCCTTTAGACAGAAAAATACTGCAATAATATTTTCCACATACAGAGCATTTTTGCTCTAAAAAGCTCTAAACAGAAGGTGTTCCAGATGGCGTCGCTTTAATGGGAATTCTTTGTATACTTTAAACATTATTATTTTGGAAAAATAAAGCTTTTTTGATTACACTTAGGGGTTTCTGGCATGCTCTTTGATGCTGTTACCAGGACTGGGTCCTGTGCTTCTCTGTTACGCCTCAATCAGAATTGCTGTATGAAAAAAAAAATCATGTTTCTGAATATCTATTGTTTTTCAGTGACTGTTCTAGATCACAAGGTCAGAAGGCATTTTCCTGGACAGTAGGTTATATATTCACTTTAAGTTCAGTGTTTAGTAGATTACAACATCCTTTTCTTAAAATTTAAAAATTATTTCTGCACTTTAGCCCATACTTCTGCATATCCCTTTCTGATAAATAAGCTCCTATGTTCACCATCTTCACATTTCATAACTGTATAACCATTTGTCAAACACACCTATAATTAAGCTTTTACTGAAAGGTTGTTGGTTGCAATAAATACAGTAAACATGAATGAGTAACTCATCTGTGTTGTCAGAAATAGAAAAGACGGGTGTGTTTTCACTTCGGTTTGCTGTTTTTTTAATCCTCACCTGAGGTTATTTTTTTCATTTCTTTTCAAAGAGAATGAAAGGGAGGCGGGAGAGATGGAGAGAGAGAAACATCCCTGTGAGAGAGACACATGGACTGGTTGCCTCCCGCATACATGGGGAGTGGGAGGGTGGCAGGTGCTGGTAGCAAACTGCAACCCAGGTACATGCCCTTGACTGGGAAGTGAGACACTCTAACCATGGAGCACAACGACCAGGGCGTGTGTGTGTGTGTGTGTGTGTGTGTGTGTATGTGTGTGTGTGTGTGTGTTTTAAGATTCCTTGGTTGACCTATAGTAGAGCATAAAGCACTTAATGGTTCCAAAGCCTGACTGCATTCACTTTTATTTGCAAATTCCAGACATAAAGTATTACTTGGGGAAAACACATTATATCTATATGTTCCGAATTATGAAACAGACTACTTTTCTCAATTCAGGAGATTAACAACTTAAGTTTAAGGCTCTTATTTCATATCAACTTACTCCATGTGATGTTTTTCCCTCCTTGAGTTGTGTTTTCTGGAAGCTATGTTAGCAATACTCCAGAGGGTGAATTATCCTAAAGTGGTTTCTAAATTGTGCATGTAATTGCAAATTAAACAGTAGCCGATTGCCCACAATATCAGCTTGACTGCTTTTATAACTTTCTGATGATTTAATTCAAAGAGATGCTTTAATTTGAATGTTGCCAAGGTAAACAAGAGATTCTCTTTTCTTACCACCCCCCACAGGTTTTGCAAAAAGGAAGACTATTCAAATTTACATTATGAAGTGATTTTCTTTTTGTTTTGTTAAAGGGAATACAGGACTATCAAAAGGTGCATTTTAAAGTATATATTTGCTTGAAAATTTATTTCAATCAATTCAAAGCCCCTTCTATATACTAAAATGTAAGCATACAAATATGAGATACGTGAAAAACAAAAGGATGAGCCTTCTGGGCTCCATGCTCATCTGCATATTTTCCGGGTGAAATTCCAGAAGGCAGCTCCCATGGGTGTGCTGTGGGTTGAACAATCCCAGAGCATAGGCAGTGTTGGGGTATGTGTAGAGATCCCTTCCATCCATGCTAGACAGCCCTCATTAAACACAGAGGGCATTAGTAAAGACCCCAGAAAAGTAACTCTATAGTGTAAAGGCCAAGCCAGCCTCAGAGTAAAGGCTGCTCTATTTCTACCCGACTAAGCTTTAGACCTCTGAAGGATCAGCTGCTCTACACGTAATGCAGTGCCCAGGGTCAAACAGGCACAGGATGTTCTCACAGGCACATCCTGTGTTCTAAAGGAAGACAACACAATCCTGACACTCCAGTTAACATTCCTAATGTCTGGCATATCATTAAAATTACTAGCGATGTGAAAAAGCTGCAAATCAGTTGGTAGGAATTGACCTAGAAATGAGAAAGGTAATGGAATTAGCAAATACTCTAAGCAGTGATTTTTACATATTATATATTACAAATATTTTCAAAGATGTAAAGGAAAATATAAACAGTAGCAAGAAACAATATGGGTAACTAAAAAATGAACAAATAGAATTTATAAAGCCAAAGAATAGGGTATCTGAAAAAATTTCACTAGATTGCCTTGACATAAGAGTGGACTCTGTAAGATTAATAAACATGAAGGCATGACAATAGAAATGATCAAATTTAAGCACAGAGACATAAGATTAAAATTACCAGAGCCTCAGTGGCCTGTGGGATAATAACAAGCAGTCTCAGTATAATTGGAATCCGAAAATGA